AACACATATGTATATATATATATATATGTATATATATATATATATATACATATGTATATATATATATATATATAAAAGATAAATGAAACAAAAAGCTAGTTATTTGAAAAGATAAATTGACAGACCATTAGCAAGATTAACAAAAAAAAAGAAGAGAAAATGTCCAATTAACCTCAATTAGAAATGAAACAGGAGCTATTACAACCAAGAACACAGAGACACAAAAGATCATTCAAAGCTACTACAAATACCTTTATGTGCACATGCTAGAAAACTTAGAGGAGATGGATAAATTCATGGAAATATGCAACCCTTCTAGATTAAATTAGGAAGAAATAGAAACCCTGAACAGACCAATAACAAGTAGCATGATTGACACAGTAATTTTAAAATTGCCAACAAATAAAAGTCCAGGACCAGATGGATTCAAAGCTGAATTCTACCAGGCATTCAAAGAAGAATTGGTTCCAATCCTACTGAAACTATTCTAAAAGATAGAAAAATAGGAAATTCTCCCTAAATCATTCTATGAAGCCTGTATTGTCATAATATCAAAACCAAGAAAAGATATAACAAAAAAAGAAAATCATAGGCCAATTTTCCTGATGAACATAGAGGCAAAAACCCTCAGCAAAATACTAGCTAACCAAATCCAAAATCATATCAAAAAGATAATACACCATGATAAAGTGGATTTCATATCAGGGATTCAGGGTTGGTTTAATATATGCAAGTCAATAAATGTAATACATCACATAAACAGAATTAAAAACAAAAGTTATATCATCTTAATAGATGCAGAAAAAGCATTTGACAAAATCCAGCATCTTTATAATTAAAACCCTCAGCAAAACTGGCATAGAAAGGACATACCTTGAGGTAATAAAAGCCATCTACAACAAACTCACAGCCAACATTATACTGAATGGGGAAAAGTTGAAAGCATTCCCCCTGAGAACTGGAACAAGATAAGGATGCCCACTTTCATCACTTCTATTCGACATAGTACTGGATGTCCTAGCCAGAGCAATAAGACAAGGGAAAAAAAAAAGGGGGGGGCATCCAAATCAGTAAAGAGGAAGTCAAACTGTCACTGCTCACTGATAATGATTGTATACCTAGAAAACTCTAAGGACTCATCCAAAAAGCTTGTAGGTCTGAAAAATAAATTCAGTAAAGTTTAAGGATACAAAATCAATGTACGCAAATCAGTAGCACTGCTATACTCTTAACAGTGGCCAAGCTGAGAATCAAATCAAGAACTCAACCTGTTTTATAACAGCTGCAAAAAATAATAAAATACTTAGGAATATACCTAACCAAGGAGGTGAAAGAACTGTATAAGAACTACAAAACATTGCTGAAAGAAATCATAGAAGACACAAACAAATGGAAATACAGCCCATGCTCATGCTCATGGGTGGGTAGAATCAGTTGTGAAAATGACCATATTGCCAAAAGCAATCTATAATTTCAATGCAATTCCCATCAAAATACCATCATCATGCTTCACAGAACTAGAAAAAACAATCCTAAAATTCATATGGTACAAAAAAAAAGAATCCACATAGCCAAAACAGGATTGAGAAAAAAGTAAAAATCTGGAGGTATTACATTATCAGCCTTCAAACTATACTACAAGGATATAGTGATCAAAACAGCATGGTGCTGCTATTTAAAAAGGTATGTAGACCAATGGAACAGATTAGAGAACACAGAAATAGAGCCAACTACAGCAAACTGATCTTTGACAAAGCAAATAGAAAATACAAAGTGGGGAAAGGATACCCTATTCAACAAATGGTGCTGGGATAATTGGCAAGCCACATACAGAAGAATGAAATTGGAGTCTCATCTCTAACCTTATAAAAACATCAACTCAAGATGGATCAAAAACTTACATCTAAGATCTGAAACTATAAAAAATTCTAGGAGATAACATCAGAAAAACTCTCATAATAAGACATTGACTTAGGCAAACAGTTTATGACCAAGAACCCAAAAGCAAATGCAACAAAAATCAAGATAAATATTAATAGATGGAACTTAATTAATCTAAAAAGCTTCTACACAACAAAAGAAATAATCAACAGAGTAAACAGACAACCTAAACAGTGGGAGAAAATATTCACAAACTATGCATCCAAACAAGGACTAAGGCATGAGACATGAATAGACAATTCTCAAAAGAAGATATACAAATGGACAACAAACATATGAAAAAGTACTCAACATCACTAATTATCAGGGAAATGCAAATCAAAACCACAATGTGATACCACCTTACTCTTGCAAGAGTGGCCATAATTAGAAAATCAAAAAATAATAGTTGTTGGTGTAGATGAGGTGAAAATAGAAAACTTTTACACTGCTGGTGGGAATGTAAACTAGTACAACCACTATGGAAAACAGTATGGAGATTCCTTAAAGAACTAAAAGTAGAACTACCATTTGATCCAGCAATCCCACTACTGGGCACCTACCCAGAAGAAAAGAAATCATTATATGAAAAAGACACTTTTACGCGCATATTTATAGCAGCACAATTTGCAACTGCAAAAATATGGAGCCAGCTTTGATGCCCATCTACCAAGGAGTGGATAAAGAATGTGGCATATATATGCCATAGAATACTACTCAGCCATAAAGAGGAATGAAATAATGGGATTAGCAGCAACCTGGATGGAGGTGGGACCATTATTCTAAGTGAAGTAACTCCAGAATGGAAAACCAAATATCCTAAGTTCTCACTTACAAGTGGGAGCTAAGCTATGAGAATGCAAAGGCATAAGAATAATATAACAGACTCTGGGGACTCAGGGGTAAGTGTGGGAGGGAGGTGAGAGATAAGACTATACATAAGTGCAGTGTACCATCCTCAGGTGATAGGCACACCAAAATCTCAAAAATAACCACTAAAGAACTTATTCATGTAAAACAAACACCACCTGTTCCCAAAAAACTATTGAAACAACAAAATAAAAAAAATTTAAACAGACACAGAATACCAAGCTGGATAAAGAGCCAAGGCCTGTTGGTATGTTGTCTTCAAGAGATCCACCTCACATGCAAAGACACACGTAGGCTCAAAATAAAGAAATGGAGGAAAATTTACCAAGCAAACAGAAAACAGAAAAAAAAGCAAAGGTTGCAATCCTAGTTTCTGACAAAATAGATTTTAAACCAACAAAGTTCAAAAACAACAAAGAAGGGCATTACATAATAATAAAGAGTTCAATTCATTAAGAAGAGCTAACTATCATAAATATGTATGCACCCAACACAGGAACACCCAGATTCATAAAACAAGTGCTTAGAGACCTAAAAAGAGACTTAGACTCCCACACAATAACAGTGGGAGACTTTAACACTCCACTGACAAAATTAGACAGATCATTGAGACAGAAAATTAACGAAGATACTCTGGACCAGAACCGAGTGCTGGATCAAGTGAACTGGATAGATATCTGCAGAACACTACCCAAATTCAACAGAATATGTATTCTTATCATCAAATAGCATTTATTCTAAAATTGATCACATAATCAGAAGTAAAACACTCCTCAGAAAATGCAAAAAGAACTGATATCATAGCAGTTCTCAGACTACAGCAAGCAAATTAGAACTGAAGATTAAGAAATCCACTCAAAAGCATACAACCACATAAAAACTGAACAACCTAACATCACAAGTAAAAGAACTAGAGAACCAAGAGCAAACAAACCCCAAAGCTAACAGAAGACAAGAAATAACCAAAATCAGAGCTAAACTGAAAGGTAGGGACATGAAGAACCCATCAAAAAAATCAACAAATCCAGCAGCTGGTTTTTTGAAAAAAAAAAATAATAAAATAGATAGACTGCTAGCTAGACTAATATAGAAGAAGAAAGAGAAGATACAAACAAACACAATCAGAAATGTTAAGGGGGATATCATCACTGACCCCATAGAAATACATACAACCAACAGAGAATACTAAAAGCAATTCTATGTACATAAAGTAGAAAATCTAGAAGAAATGAATAAATTCCTGGACACACACACTCTCTCAAGACTGAACCAGGGAAAAAATCGAATCCCTCAATAGGCCAACAACAAGTTCTGAAATGAGGCAGTAATAAATACCCTACCAACCAAAAAAAGCCCAGGACCAGAGGAATTCACAGCTGAATGCTGCCACAGGTACAAAGAAAAGGTGCTATCATTCCTACTGAAACTATTCCAAAAAATCAAGGAGGAGAGGCTCCTCCTTAACTCATTCCATGAGGCCAGCATCATCCTGATACTGAAACCTGGCAGAGATACAACAAAAAAAGAAAACTTCAGGCCAATATCCTTGATGTACATTAATGCAAAAATAACAAAATAGCCGGGCGCGGTGGCTCAAGCCTGTAATCCCAGCACTTTGGGAGGCCGAGGCGGGTGGATCACGAGGTCAAGAGATCGAGACCATCCTGGTCAACATGGTGAAACCCCGTCTCTACTAAAAATACAAAAAATTAGCTGGGCATGGTGGTGTGTGCCTGTAATCCCAGCTACTCAGGAGGCTGAGGCAGGAGAATTGCCTGAACCCAGGAGGCGGAGGTTGCGGTGAGCCGAGATTGCGCCATTGCACTCCAGCCTGGGTAACAAGAGCGAGACTCCGTCTCAAAAAAAAAAAAAAAAAAAAAAATAACAAAATACTGGCAAACCAAATCCAGCAGCACATCAAAAAGTTTATCCACCACAATCAAGTAGGCTTCATCCCTGGGATGCAACTCTGATTCAACATATGCAAACCAATAAACATGATTCATCACATAAACAGAACTAAAAACAAACAAACAAAAAAACATGATTATCTCAATACATGCAGAAAAGGCCTTTAATAAAATTCAACATCCCTTCATGTTAACAATTCTCAATAAACTAGGTATTGAAGGAGCATACCTCAAAATAATAAGAGCCATCTGTAACAAGCCCATAGCCAATATTATACTGAATGGGCAAAAGCTGAAAGCATTCCCCTTGAAAACTGGCACTTAAAAGGATGCCGTCTCTCACCACTCCTATCTAACACAGTATTGGAAGTTCTGGCCAGGGTAATTAGGCAAGAGGAAGAAATAAAGTTTATTCAAATAGGAAGAAACTAAGTCAAACTATCTTTCTTTACAGATGACATGATGCTATATCTGGAAAACCCCATCAACTAAGCCCAAAAGCTTCTTAAGCTGAAAAGCAACCTTAGCAAAGTCTCAGGGTATAAAATCAATTTGCAAAAATCACAAGCATTGCATTCCTATATACCAACAACAAGCAAACCAAGAGTCCAATTACAATGAACTCCCATTCATGATTGTCACAAAAAGAATAAGATATCTAGGAATTCAGCCAAAAAGGGAAGTGAAGGACCTCTTCAAGGAGAACTACAAACCACTGCTCAAAGAAATCAGAGAGGACACAAATGGAAAAACATTCCATGCTCACGGATAGAAAGAATCAATATCATGAAAATGGCCATAATGCCCAAAGCAATTTATAGATTCAATGCTATTCCCATTAAAGTAGCATTGATATTCTTCACAGAATTATAAAAAACGATTTTAAAATTCATATGTGTTTTTCATTAACACTAAATGTCAACTTAATAGGATTGAAGGATGCAAAGTATTGTCCCTGGGTGTGTCTGTGAGGGTGCTGCTAAATTAACATTTGAGTCAGTGGACTAGGAGAGGCAGACCCACCCTCAGTCTGGGTGGGCACCATCTAATCAGCTGCCAGTGCAGATAGGATGAAAACAGGCAGAGGAAAATGGAAGAACAAGACTGGCTAAGTCTTCTGGCCTCCATCTTTCTCCATTACAAGATGCTACCTGACCTCAAACATCAGACTCTAAATTCTTCAGCTTTTGGATTCTTGGACCTGCACCAGGGGTTGTCAGGCCTTCAGCCACAGACTGAAGGCTGTACTGTCGGCTTCCCTACTTTGGAGGTTTTGGGACTCAAACTGGCTTCCTTGCTCTTCAGCTTGCAGACAGCTTACTGCAGGACTTCACCTTGTGATCATGTGAGTCAATACCCCTTAATAAACTCCCTTTCATACATATATATATCCTATTAGTCCTATCCCTCTAGAGAACCCTGACTAATACAATATGGAACCAAAAAAGGGTGTGAATAGCCAAGGCAATCCTAAGCAAAAAAAAGAAAGCTGGAAACATCACGCTTCCTGACTTCAAACTATACTACAGGGCTACAGTAACCAAAATACCATGGTCTGCAACAAAAACATATAAACCAATTGAACAGAATAGAGAACCCAGAAATATGACTGCACACCTATAACCATCTAATCTTCAACAAACCTGACAAAAACAAGCAAAGGGGAATGGATTCCCTATCTAATAAATGGTGCTGGAAGAACTGGCTAGCCAGTTCATGCAGAAAATCGAAACTGGACCCTTTCCTTGTAACAAATACAAAATTAACTTAAGATGGATTAAAATCTTAAATATAAAACCCAAAACAATAAAAACCCTAGAGGCAATAACATTCAGGACATAGGCATGGGCAAAGATTTTATGACAAAGACAACAAAAGCAATTGCAACAAAAGCAAAAATTGACAAAAGGGATCTAATTAAACTAAAGAGCTTCTGCACAGCAAAAGAACCTATCAACATAGTAAACAGACCTACAGAATGGGAGAAAAGCCTACAGAATGGGAGAAAATTTTTGTAATCTCTCCATCTGACAAAGGTCTAATAGCCACCATCTGTAAGGAACTTAAATTTACAAGAAATAAACAAATGACTCCATTAAAAAGTGGGCAAAGAACAAGAACAGACACTTCTCAAAAGAAGACATATATGTAGCCAACAAACATGAAAAAAAGCTCAACATCACTGATCATTAGAGAAATTCAAATCAAAATCACAATGAGATACCATCTCACACGAGTCAGAATGGTTATTATAAAAAGTCAAAACACAACAGGTGTCAGGAAGGCTATGGAGAAAAAAAATGATTTTACATGTTGGTGGGAGTGTAAATTTGTTCAACCATTGAGGAAGTCAGTGTGGTGATTCCTCAAAGATTTAGAACTGGAAATACCATTTGACCCAGCAATCCCATTGCTGGGTATATGTCCAAAGGAATAAAAATCATTCTATTATAAAGACACATGCATGCATATGTTCATTGCTGTACTATTCACAATAGCAAAGACATGGAATAAACCTAAATGCCCATTAATATTAGAGTGAATAATAAAAAGGCAGTACATATATACTACATAATATTATGCAGCCATAAAAAGGAATGAGATCATGTCCTTTGCAGAGACATGGATGGAGCTAGAGGCCTTTATCCTTAGCAAATGAATGCAGGAACAGAAAATGAAATACCATGTGCTCTCTCTTATAAGTGAGAGCTGAATGATGAGAATACATGGACACATGGCAAGGAAACACATACACTGGGGCCTGTCAGAGGGTTGTGTGTGGGAGGAGAAACAGCATCAGGAAGAATAGCTACTAAATGCTGGGCTTAAACCACCATGGCACACATTTACCTCTGTAACAAACCTCCACATCCTGCACAGGTACCCCTGAACTTAGAAGTTGGACTTAAAAGAGAGAGAGAGAGAGAAAATTTCTAGCAAAAAAAAAAAAAATCATTACTATTTTGGCATGAGAAATTATTCAATTGCCTTAAAAAATTGTATTTTCTCAGCAGGATTATAGTATAGTTAAACAGCTACTGTGCTGGCAAAAAAAAAGACTTCCACAAGTGGTCAATGGCCTCAATTCTCTTCTTGGTTCTGTGTAGTATTTAAAGATATCGATAAATAGATATATTTTTTATTTTCACATAGCTGAGTTCCACATAAAAGAAATATTTTTAAATCCCATGGATATAGCCTGGGTTTGATTATATGAAATCTTATTTAGCATATTGCTCTTTTACTTGGTAGTTTATCAATTCTTGTCAAATTACTGCATAACATTTCGACATTTGTGATTCCTTAAAAATAAATCACAGGCTGGGAGCAGTGGCTCTTGCCTATAATTCTAACACTTCAGGAGGCCATGGTGGGCAGATCACCTGAGCCTGGGAGTTCAAGACCAGCCTGACAATATAGTGA